GTCATGGCTTGTGAGTGCAGCTGGGTAAAGACAACACACACATTACAGCAACAACACACAGTTCAATAACAACCCATACACAACCCACATTTGATTTTAGACTATGAGTATCATATTTTTGTGTAATAGAAACTATCTACCCTAGCTTTATTTCCCTTTTTATTTTTGTGCTCTTCCCTTTCTCTGTTTTAGCATATAAAAGTTGATCATCTCTCTCATTTGTACAGCACTACTTGCATTATTGTTGTTACGTGGCACAAAGTCATCTGCAACCTATGGGTGACCTTATTCATAAAAGACCTCCAAGATGTCCTGTCCATGAAAGCTCCATTTAGCTCTTCCAAGTTTAATGCTTCGGATTAATATATGAAGTCAATTCAGACTTTTATTTTATTTATCTGTTCATTTTGACATTTGTATGCTGCCTCCTACTCTGAGTGGAGTCTCTGGGTGGCTCATAAATTACACCCCTATTAAAAGAACAACAATAATAAATTCAACCAATTTTATAAAAACAATGAACTATCATCAAAACAGCAATAAATAAATAGTCCCTTATAAGTTCTCATTGGGGGATATCCATAAATTGATATGTTATTACAAACATTAAATTCAGTTGTTAAAAATTTAATATTAAAATTTATTGTTAAAATGTCTAGAACAGAGAAATGATTTCACCTGGCACCGAAAGGAGAGTAGTGTCAGAGTTAGGTGAATTTCTCTGGAGAGCTGATTCCACAATTGGGGGGGGGGGGCAGCCGCCAAGAAGGTCCTCCTATTTGCCATCCCTCTCACCTTTTCGAGTGATTACTTCTTTAGAAGGATCTTCTGCCCAGATCTCAGTGGTTGGGCAGGTATATACAGGAGAAGGTGCTATTTGCTGTCTTCCCTTTCATCTTCTGCCTTCAACTTTCCCTAACATGTTTATCTTTTCCTTGCCCACATCTGAGGTGACCCACCATGCTGCGTGGAGATGGTCCCTTCAGTGCATGAAGTGCATGTGTAGCAGCATGGTGGTTCTCCTTCCTGACCAAAGTATGACCCCCTTCATTTTTGTCAGTTAAGCTTCTAAGGAAAGCTTTGGCTTGATTTGATCTGGGCCCCACTTGTTTGTCTGCTCAGAGTATTCACAAAACTCTCCTCCAGCATCAATGTTCTTCCTAGCAGCTTTCCTTTCTGTCCAGCTTTCACACCTAAACAGAGTGATTGAAAATACAATGATGTGAATAATCTAGGCCTTGGTCACCAGTAAAAAGTCCTTACACTGGGTGACCCTTTTTGTTCCTTCATTGCTGCCCTTCTGAGTCCTGTTCTTCTTCTCAGAAGGCTGCAGAATTTCTCCCATGGCAATGATGACTGAGGCAACGTATGTGAAAATTTTCACAATATTGATTTCTTCTTTACTAACAGTACACTTCTGGAATTCTTCCATTTGCATGCTTGATATAAGCAAGAAAGCAAACAAGCAAACACATGAAATATACTTTCCTTAAGATTACTTCTCATTGTCAGATGCATCTTCCCCCTCCAGCTTTAGAGAGCAAATGTGAAAGAAGCAAACAAAAATAGACTGCTTCACACACACCCTGACTTTCCCTCCCCACTCAATTTCTAGCCTAATTCCAGCACATAGAAACATAGAAACAGAATGATTCAGAAGGGATCCCCTGGGCCATCTAGTCTAACCTCCAGCTCCAGCCAGCTCCACTCATGACAGGCCCACCATGTGCATGTCCCAGCCGGCTCCGCTCATGACATGCCCACCATGTACATGTCATGAACACATGATGAGCTCTGCATCTCTCCAGGCAGTGAACTCCTATAGAAGCTGCATGAGAATGTAAAGACATACAGGTATAAAAAAAACCCTTCTGGGTCAGACCATTTCAGCATATTTCACTCAGGACCAAAAAGCTGCCCCTCAGGAAACCAACAAGCAGGGCATGAGATTAATTGCAGCTTCCTGTCTGTGGTTCCCAGCAGCTGATATATATGTATAGGCATGTTGCTTCTCTTAGCAAGTAGCCATTGGGGCTGTACTCAATGATTGCCTTCTTCTCCATCAGTTTGTCCCATTCTCTTTTAATGCCATCCAAATTGATAGCCATCATGATGTCTCATGGAAGTGAATTCTGTAATTCAACTCCAGTATATGAAAAAGGACTTCCTCTTCTTTGCCCTGGATCTCCCACCACTCATCTTCATGAGGTGAACCCTTTGGGTTCTAGAATTGTGCGAGAGGGAGAAGAGGCTCTCCCCCACCACTCTTTCCATAACTGGGTGCTTCTCTGTCATGCCTCCACCTACAAAACAGAGATTAGACAGTCTGAATATTGTCACCCTTCCTTGCAAGGAAGTTGCTCCACACTTGTGAATATTTTAATTTTTAATTGCCATTCTTAGTTGTCCTTTTCTGCACCTTTTCCAGTTCCACAATGACCCTTTAAGAGACATGACCAGACTTGTCCACAATAGCCCAAGGATGGTCCTTTGTAAAAGGAAATAAGATGTTGCTAGTTTTCTTTTCATTTCCTTCCCAATTGTGCTTAATATGAGGTTTACCTCGTTTTCCAGTAGCCACAGATGGAGTTAACCCTTCCATCAAGAGTACCCCACAACCCCATGATCTGCTTCTTTGTCAGTGACCGCGAGCTCAGATCTTATCATCATAAACTGAAACTCAACCCAGACAAGACGGAGGTCCTGTTGGTTGGCGGATCGGGCTTCGGAGAGGGTGGATTTGACCTGGTCCTGAATGGTGCAACACTCCCTCTTAGGGATAAGGTCCGCAGCTTAGGAGTGCTCCTCAACCCGGAGCTTTCTTTGGAAGCTCAGGTGACAGCGGTGGCGAGGAGCGCCTTCCTTAAGCTTCGGCTGATTAATCAGCTGCGCTCCTACCTGGAGTACGACTGCCTGGCGACGGTGACACACGCGCTGGTGACTTCCTGCCTAGACTTCTGTAATGCGCTTTACGTGGGGCTTCCCCTGAAGACAGTCCGAACTCTTCAATTGGTGCAAAATAGAGCTGCCAGGTTGCTGACGGGGACGGGGCGTTATGCTCACATGACTCCAGTCCTCCGTCAGCTTCACTGGCTTCCCATTGAAGCCCGGGCCCAATTCAAGGTGTTGATTATGACCTATAAAGCCCTAAACGGCTTGGGTCCTGGCTACCTGAACGAGCGCTTACGTCCGTATATGCCCGACCGCCCTTTGAGATCTGCGGGAGAGTCCCTTCTCCGGGAACCCTCCATGAAAGAAATTAGGAGAGTAAGTACTCGGAGGAGGGCTTTCTCTGCGGTGGCGCCCAACCTATGGAATTCACTCCCGAAAGAGGTCCGCCTGGCACCGGCGTTACTGGTTTTTCGGCACCAGGTAAAGACCTTTTATTTAAACATCATTTTAATTGTTAAAACATATGATCTGGCCAGGGCAACTTCTTCTTCCTTCTCTTTTCTCCTCTTATATTTTGATTTACTTATTTTATACTGATAATTTTAATTTTATATTTGTAACTCAGTGTATTTTTGTATTTTTGTATTTAATGGTAATTTATTATGTTCTATTGTATTTCAATGTATTTTATTGTGTTATAAACCGCCCCGAGGTTTCGGCAAGGGTTGGCATAGAAATGTTATAATAATAATAATAATAAATATTTGTGAAGTTGGGATTCTACTTTCTAATATACTCTAGCACAAAATGAATACACAGGGATGGGCGTCTGGTTGTGTGTCCAGTTATTCAGTAGGCTCCTGTCACCATTTGGCTTATATCGGATCAGTAAAATAAGGGCTTTACTGGATTCCACAGACATTCACAGCACAAGATCAGGTCTCTGAGACATGTACAATTCTTCCATTGGAGTGATAATTTTAAAAAGCAGAGGATCAAGATGGAAAATCCTTCCTCAAGGTGAAGGTGTCCCCTCAGAATTTCAGTCTGCAACGTAGAAGAGCTTTGGTTTTTGTTTTAATTCTTGATTCTTATGGGTTTGAGCATAACTCAGTGTTTTTTCTAGATGTTCTTTAGAGGAAGAGAAGGAAAAGCCATCTTGGACATTTTGATGTCTGTATTTTATTTTTCATCATTCAGATTCAGGGCATTCCCAAATGACCTTCCACAGAATGCATATTTAGGACATCTGTATGATATCTTTCAGTGGGGACAGCAGGGAACCTGAAAGGCACAATTGAAAGAAGGATCCAGTGCCTAAGAATAGTCTACCAACAATGACTTCTAAACATGACCTCACAGGAAGGACTGGAACCCTTGCAATGCCCTTTCCCTAAGACCCACCCCACCAAGCCACCCAGAAGGTTTTACAGTCAGTGGCGTTCAACACTGTTGAGAGAACCATAACCCCTGGGAAAACCTTCACCCATCTCAGAATGCCCACACTTTAAGATGACACAGAGAGGTCCTTCTCACTCACCCACTGCAGGAACAGGTGGGGGGAGGGGTTGAGAGTCATTGTGAAGGTTCTCTTGAGTGTTTCAGGTTTTGCTATAGCATTGATTTGAAGATGTGTTTGCTTGTTGTCCAGAACCTTGGGAGAGCTGCTACGCCAAGCAGTGACCAGTGGCTCCTTTCCCAAGATGGCTTGGTTGTTAGATAACAGCCTCTTTTGACACTAACATTCCTACTGAATTATACAGCTGTTGCAGTGGTCAGAAAAGGAAGTTGGGAGTGGTTGACATCTGGAGACTCAACAGCTGCCTAACCCAATGCATAGCTTTTTATTCACTTTTGAAATTGTGCTCATTGGTTCTAATAATGCATCTCTTTGTCCTCACCTAAGAAAGCTCAGATAAAATTTTGAAGAGGAATGCTTTGCCAACAGGAGAGGTTAAAAATATTTTTTTTTCTGGGGTCCACTAGTCTGTATTCCTAGATCTACAAGCAGCGTGTGGGATGTAGACCTATTCCATTTTTTAGATCATCTGATCATATGGTATTTTTCCAGATTGCTGTTCGGGAGGATAATTTCCCCCAATTCCCAACTATGTCAAGATGCCATCTCTGGTTTTCATCACAAGATGTTCTTTTGTATTCAGATCAGGCCTAGACATGACAATGTAACACTTGGGAAGGAAGATGCAGCCCAGAAGCCCGGCACTGGAGGCCAAGATGGAGAAGACCTGCACAGCCACCATGTACTTCCCCTTAGTGCTCAGGTAGGAGGGCACAAAGGATACCCAGACACTGCAGAAGACCAGCATGCTGAAGGTGATCAGCTTGGCCTCATTGAAGGCCCCAGGGAGCTTTCTGGCCAGGAAAGCCACCAAGAAACAGACAGCAGCCAGGAAGCCCATGTAGCCAAGTGCAGCGTAGAACATCATGAGAGACCCTTCATTGCACTGCAGGATGATCTGTCCAGCTTGGGAGTGCATATCAGAGTCTGGGAAGGGGGGAGCAGTACCCAGCCAGATGATCATGATGAGTATTTGCAGGCTGGAACAGGAAAGGACAATGGCATTGGCCAAGCTCTTCCCCAGCCATCTCCTCACCCTGTTGCCTGGCTTTGTGGCCAGGAAGGCCAGCACCACAGTGATGGTTTTAGCAAGGACAGAAGAGACAGCAACCGAGAAGATGATGCTGAAGGCTGTCTGTCGGAGAAGGCAGGTCACTTTCTTTGGGCGGCCAATGAAGAGGAGAGCAGACCAAAAGGAGAGCAGGAGAGAGTGGAGGAGAATGTAGGAGAGGTCCCTATTGTTGGCCTTAATAATTGGCGTTTCTTGGTATTTCACAAAAATTCCTAACACACAGGCTGTGACTGAAGACAAAAACAGTGCAAGGGAAGCCAGGATGATCCCCAGTGGTTCTCTATAGGACAAGAAGGTTATAATCTTGGGGACACATTGATCTTGGGCCTTGTTTGGGTGCTGATCTTCTGGACACTTGGTGCAATGGTCTGCATCTATAGAAAAAAGACTGGGAATGTGATTTCAGTGTTGTTAATGGGCATTGCTGCGGAAAAGTCTGTGTTCTTGTACCAGGCAGTAAGGACTCATCAAATCAAGGCATCCTTTCCTTTTCCTAGGGAAAGTTTCCTCAAGAGCGACTTTCTGACCAGGGCCCCAGTGCCTAGTGCGTCTTACTTCAGCAAATGCAGCCTGTATACAAAGTAACTCTGAAATCCCTCAGTCTGTCTTCTGAAGACAAGCAGCTTGAAAGAACAGCTTAGCTGCACTCCAAACAAATTCTTGAATAGCAATCCATCCCCTCTCTGAACAGTTCCAAAGATAGGCAATGCTGGAAAGGCAGGGGCAGAGAAGAGACACTCTTCACAAACTAATCTCATCAATCTCCTGAAGGAGCTGGGAGAAGGAGAACAATTAATTTGCTGACCCAAAGGTGGATTCTGAAGATGCAGGCCCAAACCCTACACCTGATTCTCCCACTCCAGGTCTTAGCACTGATATCAACTTCTTACCTAAAGACTTGGCATAAAACCAGAGGTACAAAACTAAAACTTCACTTTTCTGATTTCGTCTCCATTTAGCCCTCCTGGCATCTAACCTTCTTTGCACTCACTACTGAAGAATGGTGTAGCTTGTGGGTCTGCATTCCTGGCAAGTGCCCCACGCACAATCTGTGAAATGGTGGTGTGCTGCACAGTAAAGCAGAATACACAAAGCTGAAACCAGGGATTCTGACAAAATTTACACACAACACAGTTTCCTTGCATATCCGTGCTGTCATCCTAAACCATGCAGGGATGTTTAGGTCAAAAGTAGCTCATTGAATCCAGTTTGGAAGTAGATAGGCAGCCAGAGCAAATGGGTCAGCATTGGTGGAATATGCTCAGACTGCCTTGTTCATGCTATTAGTTTGGCAACTACAGGAACTCCTCCAGCCATCCAACATCTCTTGTGCACTAATGAGGAAGAGGAGGCAGTGCAGTCTGGGAGAAATGCAGCTTGGGATGGAATGTCAGGTGCAGTGGCTGTTGTAATATGTACCACCAGTGGGCAGACTGCATGGGAAAGATGGAAACCACAATCATGTAGAAATCACTTGATCATCATGGCAAAAAATGTGAACTTGGATAACAGTGCTGGATTGCTTAGCTTGCTGCAGAAACTTAGCCTTCTGCTTTTGCATTAGAAGTTTCAACCCATGGCCTTCTCTTCACCAGAGAACCAGCTTGGGCACCCAGGTCAAGAAAGGCCTTGTATACAGTGATCTATCTATGTGTATCAGTCAGGAGACAGGAGAGATTCATGACAGTCTCTGTCCTATTCTGTTTTCACTGTGTGTGTGGAGTGGGAAGGCCTTGCTTTACACAATCATGAAAATTTCAGGAAGGGGGTTTAAAGGAATAGAAGGAAAGCTCCAATCAGAATGGGAGTGACTATTGGGCACACTGATTTCCTTTCCCAGTTTCCCAAGGTAATGCTAACATCTGAGGTGACCCACCATGCTGTGTGGAGATGGTCCCTTCAGCGCATGGAGTGCATGTGTAGCAGCACGGTGGTTCTCCTTCCTGGATCTCCTTGGCATATCCAGGGCGACAGCTCTCGACACATCGGGAAGGAGGCACCGTCTGCAAATAGAAAGATGTAGCAAAAAAGAAGCTTTCTATAGGGTGATGCCCAGGGGAACGAATCCTTATGTTCAGATAGAAGCACACAAGCTCTCTGGTCTCAGTGCCCCCAGCTGACCTTGAGTCTTACTTATGGGGAAGCAATATTTTCACATGATACTATGGTATGAAACCCCTCCTTGTTTCAACATTCTTTTCCCACCTTTTCTATGCACATGCTCAAAATACTGCACAGATCCAAAGAGGGAAGGGATACACTGAGTTAAGACCTGAGAAAAGACCTGCTGGTGCATCCCATCCAGGACTTTGTTCACACAGTAGCAAACTGGCTGCCCGCAGGATCCCTCAGGCAAGCTGGTACAAGAGTTCTGATAGGAACATAGGACAGCCTGGATTTAAAGAAGAACTGGGCATTTGTTATCTATTTCAAGAACATTCTGAACTTTCTTGACTGGCAGGTGATAACATGTTCTTTGAACTGGCTGGACAGCATTTTGAGAGGGTTGGTTTAATCTGGAGTACTGCACTGAACACAGGGTTGGACCTGTTGACCCTTTGGCTGCTTCCAGCTCTACCAATCTTTTTGTTGTTAGTAGTGAAGTCGTGTCCACCCCAGCATGACCTCATGTACAACATTCCTCCAGGCCTTCCTGTCCACCACCATCCCCTGAAGTCCACTCAAGCTGACACCAACTGCTTCAGTGACTCCATCCAGCCACCTCATCCTCTGCCATCCCCTTCTTCTTTTGCTGGTAATTGTTCCCAGCATTAGGCTCTTCTCCAGGGAGTCCTTCCTTCTCACTAGGTGGCCAAAGTAGTTGAGTTTCATCTTCAGGATATGGCCTTCTAAAGAGCAGTCAGGGTTGATCTCCTCTAAGACTGACTGGTTTGATCTCCTTGCAGTCCAAGGGACTCAAAGGAGTCTTCTCCAGCACCACAATTAAAGGTCTCAATTCTTCAGCAATCAGCCTTCCTTATGGTCCAACTTTCACAGCCATGCATTACAACTGGGAAAGACCTCGCCTTGACTATTTACACTTTTGTTGGCAAGGTGATTTCTCTGCTTTTTAGTATGCTGTCTAGATTTGCCATAGCTTTCCTCCCAAGGAACAAGTGTCTTTTAATTTATTGGCTGCAGCCCCTGTCTGCGGTGATCTTGGAGCCCAGGAAAATAAAGGCTGGCACTACCTCCATTTCTTCCCCTTCTATTTGTCAGGAAGTGAGATGACCAGATGCCATGATCTTAGTTTTCTTAATGTTGAGTTTCATGCCAACTTTTGCACTTTCCTCCTTCACCCGCATCAAGAGGCTCTTTAGTTCCTCTTCACTTTCTGCCATGAGAGTGGTATCATCTGCATGTCTGAGGTTGTTGATATTTCTCCCAGAAATCTGAATTCCAACTGGTGATTCATCTAGCCCCACTTTTCTCATGATGTGCTCTGCATAAAAGTTAAATAGGCAGGGCGACAGTATACAGCCTTGCTGAACTCCTTTCTCAATTTTGAACCAATCAGTGGTTCCGTGTCCAGTTCTCACTGTTGCTTCTTGACCCACATACAGGTTTCTCAAGAGACAAATAAGATGGTCTGGTATTCCCATCTCTTTAAGAACTTGCCACAATTTGTTGTGATCCATGCAATAAAGGGCTTTAGTAAATGAAGCAGAAGTAGATGTTTTTCTGGAACTCCCTAGCTTTCCCCATGATCCAGCATATGTTGGCAATTTGATCTCTAGTCCTTCTCCCTCTTCGAAATTCTGCTTGTACTTTTCATACTTCTTGGTCCACATACTGCTGGAGCCTAGCTTGTAGTATTTTGAGCATAACTTTGCTAGCATGTGAAATAAGTGCAATGGTGTGGTAGTTTTACATTTATTTGGCATTGCCCTTCTTTGGGATTGGAATGTAAACTGACCTTTTCCAATCCTGTGGCCACTGCTGAGTTTTCCCAATTTGCTGGCATAGAATTTGTTAGAGGGAAGGGAGTGGGATCCCAAGAGGATCCTCACAGCCCTACTCTAACCCACCCCAACTGTACAGTCCTAAAATGAACAGACCTGAGATGGGCTGTGCATCTCACACTTCCTCCACTTTCATGGAACATTCATGGGTCATCTCTTTCCATCAACATTAGGACTATCAACACAGCAAGCAGTATAAGCTGCTTTACATGAGACTCCATTCCAGGTATCCTGTTGTGGCTCTGGCGAAGGGATGAGTAATGCCCTGCCAAATTTCCCCATGACTGTCTGTTCAATGACTTCTGCCCTGCAGAATGGGTCTGCCTTTAAGCAAATCATGTATAAAATAGCCCAATATTATGTGAGCTGGACAGATCAACAGACTGAAGCAAGCACATTCCCCCTACCCCATTGAATCGTGTGGGCCACACAATGGTTTCCGGGTGGATGAAAAGCTCTGCATCAGCCGGTGCCTTCCTCTTCACGCTCCCAACTGTCACCCTTCCATTAGTACGGTTGGGAAACAGCACCCAGTTCACAATATCAAAGTCAGGTGCTGGCTCCCAATTCTCATCCAGAGACTGTCTCTCTGTGGAAATGTTCAGAAGTCGTCCATCTCTTAAGAGAGCATGAAACTAGAATGGCAGAGGAAACAGAGTTTAGCATCTATGAAAGAACTTCAATAATTTGGCCCTGCTCACTTGAGTGCTGATCTTCTGGAACCAAGGCATGTCACCACAGATGGGGGCAGTCCATTTTTCATGGAAGACAGAGGCCCCTCTTGGACCCACCATTGTTGGACCAAACTTATTCAGTGGCCAAATTCAACTCTCCCAGCCAAGACACAGGATCCAAATTACCAGATCCCATTGAGTTTGCTAAGAGTGTAGGAGGCAAAGAGGTAACCTGGACTAGAGAAAAGGGAAAGGGTAAAAGGATTATGACAGTAATCATGCTTGCTGATCCCAAACACCCACTCTCTCTTCCCTGACTGCTGAAGGATCTCCTGAGCCAGCAAAGTTCTCTGGTACACCTGTTGTGTTGTGTACTGCTATGCTAAGCTAAGATAAGCTAATTTCCCTTTTTGAACTAGTGGCTGTTGGAGATTTCTGGACACAAATGTCCTTGCATTTTTAAGAAACTGACCCATGATTGTTGCTGTGGCCCAGCTTTCCCAGGCTAGACAGATTTTTTCAATTCAGACAAAACTTAGCAAAATAAAAGCAAACCCACCAGCCCAAATTGCATATTTCCATGCTTAAAATAAAGCACAAAAAGCCATATGATAGGGGGATTTGTGTATTTTGGCAGGATTTGAACCATTTTGGGAATGAAAATCTAACTCCTCCAAAAAGAGAAGGGGACAAGGCATGCAGTGCTCCACTGAATGCACACAGAGGAGGATCAACGTCAGTGCGATGTTGAGAGAGAGAGTTTCTTGAGGACTTTTTCCTGTGGAGTGTTGAAATTGCTCCATGAAAGCCCCCAGATATTTTGGAGAACAGAACAGTGCGTACATGCATGCACAAACTGTGGCACATTTTCCATGTTTCCAAGTAGGGAAAAAATGCAGCTGGCCACATCTGCCTCGAGATGGACAGTCTGCCTCTGTAGAGGGATCTCTGAGGGATCTCTGAGGTGGCATGTAAAAGTTGTGGCAGAGAAGCTGCAATGGAAGAAATGGAACAGGCAGCAGCCTGCCCTGATGCCCATGTTGCTATAAAAACCTGGCAACCGGAGCTCAAATGCTATCTGCACCATCAAAGAGAAGGCTCTCAAAGAAGACTGAGTGCAAATGCAATGACTAAGGGAGAGACCCCATGCTTTAGATGTGGGGAGGCAATGCCTGGCAGCCTGAGGGTGTTTCCCACTGCCACAATACCATTGTTTTAACTAGGGGATGTCAGAGAATTCTGCAACACGCTTGAACTTGCTTGTCAATCCAATAGCTTACCTCCCCGCAGTCCCATGTTGCTGAATTTGTGGGAAAAATGTAGCAATATGAAAGCAAAAAAGGCTATTTCTATGATGCTGCTTCATCCCTGCTTCTATGATGCTGGTAACAAACTTTCAGTCCATGGAGTGGTTCATAGTGGCTAAATAATCACAAAGGAGGCAACTTATGGTAGACCAGAAGGCATCACCCAATTCTCAGAAGTATCTCAGCACCACACACACCCCAGGACCAAGGGGAGACCTTGGCTGCTATTGATCAAGTCAATCACATGCCATTTTTGTAGGCTGACAATATTGGAATTAGAAAGTGCACCCCCAGGGCCTTCCTGGGCAACTGAAGATTTTCAGTTGAAGTGGGGACATTTGTCAAGCTTTGGCATAAGTAGTTTTCTCAGTGCAGCTCTTTGGGCTTGTGCTATTTCTTGTCATTCATGTTAAGCAAAACCTTTGCTCATGTTAAACAAAAACCTTTGTTGGGTGCTTTCCAAATTTCACAATTCATTTCTTAAAGGAATTTTGGGTGTGTGTACATGAGTTAGGAAACCACCCAGGCATCCAAACTCCTGTCCCAAGTTTTTGAAGGTGGGGACTTGGTCCAGAAGGAAAGAAACACTCTTCTAATTTTGGTAAATTACTTGGATGAGGAAGTCTAGGAATGATTATCAGATCTGAAGATGACACAAAACTGTGTGGGATAACTAATACCCCAGAAGACAGAAGATTCAAGGTTGGAGTGCTGGGCTGAAAGCAACAGAATGACATTCAAAAGGGAGAAATGCCAAATTCTGCACCAAGAAAAAAGAAACCATATGCATCCTTACAAGAAGGGGAATACTTGGATCACCAATAGCGCAAGTGAGAGGGATCTTGGAATTGTGGTAGATCACAAACTGAACTTGACTCATCAATGTGATGTGGGTGCAAAAAGGACAAATGCTATTTTAGACTGGATTAATAGAAGTATCAATTCCAAATCCCATGAAGTCCAAGTTCCCCTTTACTCAGCACTGCTTAGGCCTCATCTGGAGTACTGTGTCCTGTTCTGGATAGTGCGGTTGAAGAAAGATGCAGACAAGCTGGAAAAGGTTGAGTGGAAGGCAGCAAGGATGATTTGGAGATTGGAAACAAAGCCCTCTGAGGAAAGACTGAAGGAAATGGACATGTTTTAGCCTCGAGAAGAGAAGACTGAAGGGAGGTGTGAAAGCACTCTACAAGTACCTCAAAGGCTGTCACAAAGAGGAAGGCCAGGAACGCTTCTTGATCATCCCAGAATACTGAGTGCAGAATAACAGGCTCGAGTTACTAAGACCCAGATTCCAGCTTGACATCAAGAAAATTTTCCTGGCTGTTAGAGCAGTACAATGATAGAACCAATGCCCTGTGGAGATTGTGGGTTCTCCAACAGTAGAGGCATTCAAGATGCAACTGGGCAGCCTTCTGAGAGGGATGGTTTAAAGTGGAGTCCTGCACTGAGCAAGGACTTGATGGCCCTCTGGTTCGCACATCAGCTGCAGGTGCCACACAGATTCCAATGGGCTGTCAAATGGTGCCAATCTCTGGTGGAGGAGCAGGGGGAATAGGATACTTGGAGCAGAACCCAGCTGGAAAAGACAGCCAACAAGCAGAAACAGTCTGGCTCTAGCAGGTCCAGCAGAACCCTACTTGGAGGTGATCCAGATTCCAAGTAGCAAATGCCAATGCCAGGGTTGCCAGCCCACTCCTGACAAGAAGCAAATGTGCCTGACACAGCAATCAAAAGTAGCCTGAGTGACCCAGGTCACCTGGAACTCTAGCTACCACTCTGGATCTAGCAGGAACCCGAGGCTACAAACCATTTGTCTGATCCAGCATGGCTGCTCCTAGGTACTCCTGTATCCTCCCACATGGAAGAGCACCATGCTTACCTACAATGACTTCCACTTACCTGGATTGGAGTTTTGCTCTCATGTAGCACATCACTGAGTCTAGGTACTGTTCAAGCCCAGGGTTGGGACGAAGTGGTATGAAATCTGTCCCTTCAGCACTCACAGACTTCCTTACATGCTCAGACCTCACATAGGAAGCAAACCACACCAAGGGAAAGTCCACAAACTCTGGAGGAACACTGGTTTGCAGATAGAGATCTGCCCAGATGCAGGGCTTGCCTATGGCTCACCAGTGGACTTTCCATCAGCAGGAGTCACCCTGGGTTCCACACTCACATATTCAGTACATGAGAAGAGGCTAGAGGGCTCTTAGAGTTGCATTGTCTTGTGAGCTGTGGGGTGCCCATTCAGATCCTCATTGAAATAGATTGTCTGTGCTTTTGGAGCTGAGGGCAAGAAAAGAAGTGTCTGACTCATGATAATTGTGTTGCAGAAGGAAAATGGAATACCTGCCATGGCTGCAGCTTCTGAGGTTGTTGCATCACTCGTCCACCCACCATTCTTATCTGCTTGGATTGGGATGAATATGCAGAATGCAGGGCATGGGCCACAGCATGGACACTGCTGTATGTCCGGAAGCTGTCTTGAGACAGGGCCCTCTCCACCTCCTCCTGGGGCAGCTCCTCCAGGTTCTCTTTCTCAGTGCATTTTTTCCAGCTTCTCTTGGACAATGCATGAGTCGAAGAGAAACAGTGGAAGGCTGCATCCCAGAAATATTCCAGAGTATAGGTAAATGGTCGATAGAAGGCATGTTTTGTCTTTTTTTGTGTATGCATTTTGAAGGTCAATGAGCCATGGATGAACTTGAAAGCATAATCTGCATAAAACAAGTTGAAGTCAATATCTGGAAAAGCTGTTGTGATCCATATTCTTGTTCCAGTTCCTTTTGCTTCAAGCATTCCTTGCATATTGATAACTGGAAGAAATACGTATTGAACATCTGCGTAGAGTACAATCACATTGACTTGTCCCCATACAAAAGTTTCTTCAACACCATGATTATTTCTTATCTTTAGTCTTCTAACGAAGGCAATGCAAATTCCACTCCTGCTTAGCAGGGGCAAAATAGCACGCACAAACCTGTCTCCATTGTCATTGACTGGAGCAAAGAGACCAATCCATGTCCATCCAAAAGAGAGGAGCAGTCGCACAATCCCGGGATACTGGGTTTCTTCCCATGGGGCCATCCGGTGGACAAAAGGAAACTGAGCCTTGTCATTAACAGAGTGTGAGACCACCCCATAACTGACCTAGAGAGGAAAGAAGGATAAGATCGTGAGAAGAGCATTTCTGAATAGACAAAATGTCCATCTACTTCAGAATTCTCTGCACAAAGCATACACCAGATGCCCAGATGATTTCAGCAGCAGGAGACAAGGGCAACAACACCCTCCTACTCAGCATCTCAGAAGCTGGTGCATGCAAGGAGCTGCAACCCATCCTTCAGCCTTACCGGACTGCCCCTACCAACATCCACTCCAGAGAAGAAGTGTCTCAATGGGATTTTGGAATGGGATCCTCACCAAGCCAGGGCTCAGATCATGAGTATGTATAACAGGCTTGCTTTCCACTCCCCATTTGTACCTGTGGGGTCTTGTAGATGCTCGACATGGCTGAAATAAGGATGGAGAGCTCAGATTCAACCCCTTCAAGGACAGCCAGGGGCTCATTCTTCCTCTCACATTTGTAATTGGGCAGGCGGCTTTCCCCACCTGTAAGCAGCTGCAGCATGGCATAGGACATGGTCCTTCCATAATAATGACTCTCATAGATGTTGTAGCCAAGTGTGATGTTGGGCAGGAGCTCTGGATTCTGGTTGACCTCCTGAATGGCAAACAGGAAGGACAGGCTATGCCAGTACCGCAGTTTTACTCGACTGCAAAGCAAGAGGCAAACAGTGGGTGTGTCACACTATCCAGTTCCGTGCAAAGGAAAACCTCATTGTTTCCCTTTTCCTTCCATATCCATTTTCGGGCAAGAGACATTTCAGAAAAGATATTCACGTTATAGTGATTCTATGTCAAGAACTACACATCTGCCAGTTAGAAATAAAGGCAGGAGGAGGGTGCCAGATTTCTTGAGAGAAGAAATCAACAGTTTTCAAAGTGTGTGTAATGAGAAAGCCTGCAGAGGGTTGTAGCATCTTCTGGGGGTGTTGATGCACCAGGGTAGAAATGGAGCATTCAGTCTTGCAGAATTAAGTCAATCAAGGTCATTTTCAGTTATCTGATTTACCGGTCTCTTTGAGTTTGTCTATTCAGCTTGACAACCCAGCAACCAATCAACCACCTTGTTGATTTTCAATGACTAACTACAATGTGACCCACTGAAAAAAAATACATAATGATTTTAATATTCCATTAACAGACTGACATTGGTGCTTCTTTGGTAGGAAGCGTGTCTGCTTTCGGATGGAATCATGCAGGAAAATGTACCATCTTCAATCATATGATTATTCTTGACTAAATATCACCTCCGTGGTGATCTTCAATAAAAGGGAGAATTAGAATGCCGAGAGCAAAGAAATCTGCATTCCTTACCAGTCACGTCTGTTTAAAGGAGATGCTGAAAAGATGTATGGATCATGGTATTCAATCATTTGTGAAGAAATGACACCACTAATAAGGTAGTCTCCTGGGTGGTAGTAATTTGATGCTCCCTTTTGATGCTTTTTTAGAGATGGGGGGCACGTTAAATTTTGCATCTGACCGACTGCCTGAGCCAGCAACAGGAGGAGAAGCAGCAGCACAATGAAGATCATTCTGGACGTGCCCACCCAACACCCTTCAGCAATGCTCATCTCATCCCCAAATCTGGCTGATCAATACAAGGTTGCAATGTCTTTCTGGAAATGGTGACTTCTCAGTCAAAGAGGAATGCTCTTCAAGTACACTGTAAGACCTGTCCTCCCCCCCTGTCCTAGATCACCTAACAAAATCTCTCAGGTGCCCAGGTGCTATTTTATAGGCTTTATTCTTTCAGGTGATGTGCACGAAGTTACTTCATCTTGCTTGTGCTTTAGATGTTTGAATCATTGGTCTCCTCCCCCGTACATGACAGAAAGAAGGAAGGGAAAAGAGTGAAAGAAAATCTCCCAAGAGTTGACATGCATCCCAACAAATCACTATGTTTTAGATAATTAGGAGAAGTGTCCCTGAAGCAACTTCATGGCTGTTCCATGTGGCTCAAGGCCAGGCAGGTGCTGGAGAAAACAGGACTGCAGAAATCTCAGATGCAGCTCCTTCTTCTGACATGAGCTGGCTACAGATCTTGAGGAAAAACAAATATTGTTGCTGCTACATGATCCAGAAAATAATGCATAGGATGCTACCATCCATCCTGTATTAGGAAATACCAGACAACACTGTGAGGGGGAAACCTCCTCTGGGCAAGCTTGGCTAAAGCATGGTATTTCCACACAGAGAAAGATGAGTCTGGCAAGAACTGTATGTACTAATGGGCGAGGTTCAAGTAAGTGTTTCAGGTTGTTTGGGAATATGCGGCCCTGCAGATATTGTTGGATTACAATGCCCATCAGTTTGGCTAATAGTGAAGGATGATGGGAGTTGCAGTCCAATAGAATCAGGAGGGCTGTGTCTTCCCATCCTGGATGGAAGCAAATGTACACACCACATGGGGAAGTTTCCCAGTCTGGCTCCCTTTTGGACAATCCTGGATGCATCAGGTGACGACCTTGGTGGTGTTCCCAGGTTCAGCCGCAGCAGGTTCAAAACAGGTTCACTCAGTGCACCAGATGGATCTAAGTCCACACTTCAAGAAGACAGTCCTCTCTTGAACACTCCTGCTGCTTCCTTCCTCCTCAACATTATCACCCCACACTCCTGGTTCACCAGTGATGGCCATTCCTGGAATAGGAGAACTGGGGCATCAGGCCTCTGTGCATGGACAAATTCCAGGTTGAACATTGAGGAGTTGCTCAAAGCTTGGAGTGATGGAGCCCTGTGGACTACTTGAAGTCTGGTCCAGTAAATGTTGTCCACCGTGGACATGGCTCCTTTCCAAGATATGAATCAACCTTGGAAAGAAAAGCAACACACTGTTTCACCTTTGTGTAAGGTTGTAACAAATATGAAGGCCAGAATCTCCTCTGCAGAATCCCAGAGTGCAGGACAGGGAACCATTTGCTCTAGTTAGGAAGAGATTCCTGACTGTTAGAGCAATACAATAATGGAACCAATGAACTAGAAAGCCAGGGGGCTCTCCTATACTGGAGGCATTCAAGATGCAACTGGACAGCCATCTGAAAGGGTGGCCTCACATGGAGACCTACTTGGGTGGGTGCTTGGTTCAAATGGCCTTTCAGTTCCTTCCAACTGTACTATTCTGTGATTCTATGATTCAAGAGCACAGGGTAGCACAAGGAACTAGGGTTACCTGAAGGGAATCTCAGGGAAAAACACATCTCTAAAGAAGCCCTTACCTTTTCAATCCCTTGAAAGCTTCAGGATTATTCCTGAGGTCTAACACAAGGCACCAGCTCTTCTGCTGTCCATTCATACAGACCCACAATACACTTAGGAAGCAGAAAGAAAGTTTATTCAGAAGGTAATGTAGAGCAGCTACAAGCTCTCAACTCTACATTGTCTAGGTGGCAAAAATTCCTTTTGAATTGCAACCTTGCTCTAAATTTCAAAAGGGAAGAGCCTTCTGTCTATTAGCATTACACATGAAAAGGAGCTAGCAGAGAAAGAGGCTGAGCCCAGGCCTACTGCCTGTATGGCGGTTGCCCCATGAAATGGACTCTGGACCACAGACCCTTGCATGGGCAGGGGGGCTGCAAGGAATCCATGAGCCAGGCAGAACTGCCAGATCTCTGATCAGAACTGGGCCCCTGCCAGGCCTCTACTTCTTCCCCTCTTTCCCTGTCCTTGCTCCTATGGGAAGGTGACGGTTCCTTCTGTTCCTCAAGCATATGCTAATTGCGGGATGAGCACTTGATTGCTCTTGATGACCTGAGCTCTCTGCTGCAGACCATCCTCCCTGTTTTCTAATGGAAAAAGGTTTGCTTTTGGTCTGCATCTGGTGGCTTCATGACAGGAGTGACTTCAATGGAGCTGCTCCTAGACAGGAAGGTTCCTCCTCTCTGCTGCTGGCACCATCTCTTTCCATTGGTGGTCTCTTTCTATTCCTGAATATATCTGCAGCCTATGGAAAGAAACATGGCCTGGATTCATGCCATCATTATTCCTTGGCCCCCATCAGAAGATGTGATTCTTATCCAGATGGTGGTGAGGCTGGATTTCTCTTGCCTGAGAAGATGCCATCTTTGGCTTTTATCACTAGAAACTCCTTTTGATTCAGATCAGGCCTCAGTAGAATAAGGTAGGACTTGTGGGTGAAGATACAGCTCAGCAACCTGGCACTGGAGGCCAAGTTGGAGAAGACCTGCACAGTGACCATGCACTTCCCCTTGGTGCTCGGGTAGATCAGCCCAAAGGAAACCCAGGTACTGTAGGAGATCAGCATGCTGAAGATGATCAGCTTGGCTTTAAGGAAACTCCTTTTAATTGCTGACAAAGTTCCCTGCTGAGAAAGCCCCACTGAATCAGATTGCAACCTGGAAGCCCTAGGCTTGATTGCAGGATTATCCCTCCATGCTGGGGGTGCTTTTCAGAGTCTACAAATGGGGGTGAGATGGACAGCCAGATCATGTGGATGACAACTAGCAAACTGAAGCAAGAAACTGCAACAGAATTTTCAAAGCTCCTCCCCAGTTGTGCCTTCCCCTTCTTCCCTGGCTTCATGGCCATGAAAGACAGCACAATGGTAATCATTTTGACCAAGACACAATAACTGAGAAGGTGATTTTGATGGCTATATGATGGAGATATCAGATATCTTATTTTGGTTCACCAATGAACAGGAAGGAAGACAAGAAAGAAAGCAGGAAAGTGACTAGGGCAATGTAGGAGAGGTTCCAGATTTAACTCCTAGTGGTTCTAGGCATCTAATGAAGATTCCTAAAATGTAACCTGTGATGACAGAGCAGAACAGCACAAAGAAACTCTGGCCCTCTTTCCCTACTAAGCTGTAATCACTTTGGGTCCCTTCCATGGCTCATAGACAAAGCTCAGTGATTATTTTACCCACACTCTTTGGTTTCTTGTGGAGGCTCATGCCTCAAGCAAAAGGAAGCCTGAAGTAACAGGTGAAGGAGAGAACACCCCAGAAATATGGTCATGAGATGAAATTTCCTTCCAGTCCACTGGAACAGAAGTCCTCTCTCTGAGGTTGAGAATACAGATGGAACTGCCAAATGGGCAAAATGCTGTGTGGTTTGGGAGTGGACTGGGTGAGAATGAATTTGCTGCTTGGTTTAAGACTGCAACCCATAATGCAGTTGAATGGATTTACCTGGAGAATCTTGTTGAATGGCATCTAGGAGCAGACAGGGAGGATGGACTTATATCACAAGGACAGTTCAGGTGTGAGGGACACGCCAGGAGTGTAAGAATTTTATTTATTTAATTTATTTATTAAAACATTTTTATGCTGCCCCATTTGCCGAAGCCTCGGGGCAGCTTACAACGTTAAGTTAAAAAATAATTATAACATTAAATTAAAACATACAAACATTAAGTTAAAATGCAAAAAAATAACAATATAAAATAAGTCGCCCTGGCCAGATAAAATCCAATAATATTAACAATTAAAATGCCGCTTAAATAAAAATGTCTTTGCCTGGCGCCAAAAAACAAATAACGACAGCGCCAGGCAGACCTCTTTGGGGAGTGCATTCCATAACTTAGGCGCCACCACAGAGAAAGCCCTCCTCCGAGTACCTACCCTCCTGATTTCTTTCATGGAGGGTTCCCGGAGAAGAGCCTCTCCCACAGATCTTAAGGGGCGGGCGGG